CACTTGGGTGCTGATCCGGTCAAGAACTACCATAGATGGACCTGGATTCGATTGTCCGGTTCTGTATCGCCACCAAAACCGAACTTCAAGATGTTGGCCAATCAACAGTAACGGACGATCATTGGATCTCAGCGAGTGCAGGAGCTACAAGCTCTACGTCCTGTAATATTCCCCAGCGCGTTCCTTTAACTGCTGTCAAGCCACCAAACCCTCAACGTCCCATCGTTCGGTGCGATCATGTTATGCCGAGGAAGGACTTAATTCAAGTTTCTCAAGTGCCAGAAGCTAGCAGCTGCCAAACGTCAAATGGAAATCGGGAATTTGTTTAACATTGGAGGCATTTGATGACGGAATGATCCAACATCCCAGTGATTTCTCGTGGAAGCGCAGAGGACTTCTCGGTTTCCTTCACAACGAGTATCACGTCAACACAGTCCTTTCGATTCCCTATTTGTCCTGCATCCGGACACGGCCAGCGCTGGTATCAACCTGTCAGCACTCGTGTTTATTTCAGTTACCATGGGACGTATTTTGTGATTAGCCCCGGTCCCTTTTAAATTTTCTCACTATTTATGAACGGCCCTTATATCTAGATAGAGCTGGAATTAGGGCCTAACAGCTTTTGTAAACAATGACTTCTATCAATGATTTCTATAAATTCAAGGCTCGTCCACGCAAACCAACATCCTCAACAGGTAGGGAAAGACTTCCCCTATCCGATGGTTATGTTGGCCTGTGTGGGCGTGCCTTGAGTTCCTAGAAATCATCGATAGAAGCCATTGTTTACAAAAGCTGCTACGCCCTAATTCCTGTTCTATCTAGATATTTGAAATGACGTTTCACATTCATCTAGTGATGTCCAATTTATATCCGAATCGATTAACGAACCGAGGGGTATCATCCCGGCCAGCACTGGTATTGCTAAATATTTGATCTCCAGTTTTTACACATTGAGGATGAATGTTAGTCCCAAACATCATCTGTTTGTTCTCTGTGTACCTAATTAATTATATGATTTGAGTAGTAGCTATACTGAAGATCCGAGAGATGTCGCCCCTTCAGTGGTAGGAAAATCATTTTTGCAGTATGGAGAATATCAGAAAATCCACGATTGGTGACTAAACATGCTTTCACAGAAGGAAACAAATAAACGAGTGTTTACCTTATCACCATAGAAATGTACTCGTTCAATTTTTGTGCATGTAAAACTGCCCATAAAGACGTTAATGAATAAAAACTGAAAATTTTCATGCATTTCCAAATGGTTTCCTACCATTCCCATACATTCGAAAGTGAATGGCCCTCTGGATGTGGATGATGTCAAAAACAACAAAACATGATTAATTGCAGTTGATCAGACAATAACAGAGCAGCAACCATGGGCGGTCAAATCATGCGAACGGCATCCACTAACTGATTTGCATTGCATATGTCAAACCAGTTGTCCAGAGCTTTTTCTTCTTCTTTCATTTATTTAACGTCGATCTCTGTTCCGCAATCTAGTGCCAATCACCGACGGACATCGATTGGCATCCATTGACGGCAATCGAATGTGCACGAAGGCAGCTTCTACACTTGCGTAGGATATCGCACCCATTCAAACACACATGGGCCGGGACCAACGGCTTTACCAACAATCAATACGAAACTAACGATTTTAAATTGGCTCACTACTTGAATAGCCTATTGGTCCCAAGCAAATCGATTAACGTTCCCCATTCTAGTATAAATTCCAGTACTACACTATGTTTGTTTTGATTTGCTATGAAAGTTTGACAGATAAAATGAGGGGTTAGTAGATTTTCCTATGTTTCGAAAGGTGAATCGATTAGCTTGGGACCGAGCTTGGGACCGAAGATAGTACCAGAGCTGAGCCAAAAAGTTGACCACGTTTCTTCGGGACCTTCTAGTCTTAGAGTTAGCTCTATGGCTTTACTTCCCTTTCGAAGACGTGACCAGAGATTTTTATACCTCAGAAAAAACCCACCGACCTCGGCTGGGATTGAACCTAGACTCATTGGGGTAAGAAAGCAGTCACGCTTACCACTACACCACCGGCGCATCGCAGCGCATCTGATTTTTGTTGAAATTTGGATATGCCGCTTTTGACAGATACGTATAATTCAACTGAAACTTGATTGATCGCAGTAGGCCGCGCTTGAAAGCTGACGTGTTTTTCTTTTGCTGCGTATTTTTCGTAAGCGAATTAAACACGTTTTGGCTTTAAATTTGTTAAATTTGTGTAGTGTACTGAAATTTAGTTTCAAGTGTTCATAAAGTTATAATTTAGTGATATATCGTGTTTTGCCTGAGTTTGCCTTGAGTGGCTCGGTTGACCTTGAAAATAACCTCCAAAATACACGACGCAGCTTCAGTGTAGATTTTCATTGCCTCCCGGGAGCCCGGTTCTCCGAGTTCGGATGCTACCCTTTCGGCGTGTAGTTCTATTGAGAGATCGGTCCGGTTGGTGAATTAGCCCGGGAACGTGTGGATAATGTGTCCATCGCGAATTTTTGGTGGTGATTCGGTGGCCGACGTTGCCGTGAATCAGCAAGTTTTCCGCCTGCAAAAGTGCTCGGCTACTGGTCTCTCGCCGGTGTCAGAGATTGCGAGCAATATGAAAGATGCCTCGCTGGATACGTCGAAGACTGGACGGGTGGCAGTTGGTGGCCGCGAACTGTTCCTGGGGAAAGCACTAGACGCGAACCTCCTCCCAGATGACCATGGCAATGCAAGAAAATTTGTGTTCGTTAAAGGAAGTATTACGACAAAGGTGCATCACGAAATGAGATGCAAAGCTTAGAGAAAATCAAAATTACGGAACCCATGGATTGGAGGACAAATTAACATGTTGAGAACAGTCCAAATACATTTCACAATAAAAAATAAACATAAACTACACACGTGCCAGGTTTCAAAAGAATATTTTCGAACCTGGAAGCGTGTATGTAATACCATTATCCATTTTATAACGGTGATGCATACATGCGGGGCTTATTGCAAGTGAAAGTAACCCCGGAATGGGCGTGACTCTCCAGACATTCTGAAATGGGTTGCTGGATCACTTTCTAACTCCCGGACTAAAGCTGTCTACAATGACCATAAATGCGACATTATAGAGAGAGTTCCTCCATAATGACACTGCCGACCAGTGAGGTTAGAGGGAATACACACACACACACATACGTATCATTCAACTGAAACTGGTTCCAGTTAGCTGACTTTCAGTTAAAAGACATTATTTCAGGTAAAGGTCTTTCACATACCGAACGTTTGGAAAAGCCATGCTTTTCCCGCGAAAAATCCTCCATTTCAAGTACCGCGCATGCGAGTGCGTGTGCCGCAGCGATAAGATATCATTTCCAAACTAACCTGTTGACTTTTACAACGCCCAATTCCAGCCACACATAGCCGCCTGCGGTCAGGTACTGCAGAAGTGCTCGAACGGCTGCGGAGTGTACGTCGCCCTGAAGGACATGGATCGCCATCTGAACCGTTGTCCGGCCGGATTTGGTGAACAGCTGCCCGCCAATCAGGAGAAGACCCTCGAGCTGGAACAGGAAATCATCGCCCTGAGGGGAACGTTGAATGACGAAATTCGGCAGCGGTTGGCTTTGATAACGGACATCGGCCAGCTGAAGAAGCGAACGCAGCTGGGCGATGAGTGGACGGCGAAGGTCGGGGACGTGCTGAACAAGTTGAAGAAGGTCATCAACGAGGAAACGGACAGCCGGTGCGTGGATGTCGAACGATGCAAGGTGGATATCAATGGGTTGATGAAACAGTTCGAGCGAATAGAAGCTTGGCGCCTGGAGTTGACTACGAGGTTCAACCAGATCGAAGGGCAGCTGAAGAAGGAGGTTGAGGTGGATGGTGATGGTGGGAAACCGAAGGATGCGAAGATGGTGATGATCGAGAGTCGGCTGAACTATTTGCAGACGGAGGTGGAGAATTTGCGACTGGCGCAGAAGCCGCCGCAGCAAATTCAAGCTGCGCAGTCAAACGGATCGGCGGGAAGAAACAGTGCAGCTATTGGGGAGCTTGAGAGTAAGATGGAAACGGTGGACTTGGTTCTGGAAGATCATCACAGCTCGATTCGGTAAGTTTGGTTGATACATTGGGGAAGTTTCAAAAGTTCTTACTTACCTGTGGGTCACTTGCAGCATATTCCAGGAACAGGTTAAGAAGCAGATGTTCGAGTTGCGGGGCGAGATGGATCCGATGCGGTTGGTGATCCAGGAGCAGCTGGACAAGCAAGCGAAGCTGGACTACGAGCTGAAGAGCGTCCTGAACACTGTCAACGAAACGGAAGATGCGAGTGAGAAGACGCAGAAAACGCTGGAGAAGTACCGTCGGGAAACTTACTACACGAAGCAGAGCTTGGACGATTTGCAGGTGCACCTGCAGCACCAGGATAAGCTGGTGGTGATCCAGAACACCCAAGGGCATCTGATTTGGCGTATCGATCAGTTCGATAAGCGCTTCAAAGAGTCGCAGCAGAGCGAGTTCATGATGAAGAGTCCAATGTTTAGCAACAAACCGTTCGGGTATACTCTGAGGGTGAGTTCAATCCTGATGCGTGATGGATGTTTTGTTTACATTTCTTTCTTTCCGGTTTGGCAGCTGGAGGCCAGTCTCAATGGGGTCGGTACGTGGCGGGGGCGCAATATGATCGTGGGACTGGTCGTGGTAGGCGGCTACTACGACAATCTGCTGGAGTGGCCGTGCGTACTGAGTGGGATGATAGCGCTTCGGGATCAGCCACAGGATCGCTCTAAAGCAGCGGTCGATTATAGCCGATCCATTCTGGCTCGGAGAAAGCATCAGAACTACGAGAAGAATCAGTACATTCACATTCCGCACCAGGTGCTGCGATCGGAGCACTACATCAGGGACGACGCCATATTTGTGGAGGTTCGGATCGATCAATAGCAGGCCGTGCCACTGGAATGTTTGTTTTTATTTAGCTTCATAAGTAAAGTTTTGTTTTTTTATTTGTGTTTGTGTTGTCAATTTGTGTACGTGTTTAAAATTTGGAATATATTAACTTGTAAGTTAGAATTTTACTAATATTAAAGAGCAATATTTTGATCCTTGTCGGTAGTACAGGTGGATTGATTCTCTGGGAGAGTAGCTGCATCGTGTTTTGTTTTTGTTTTGGTGTTTACATTCATATTTAAGGTGTAGATCCGTAGAGGAAATAAAGCTTTAGAGTTGTGTATAAGTATAGGTATCTGTGTTTCGTTTTCTAACAATCCATTATGAAGTCGTGTTGTTGCGGAGCTAGAGGAAGTGACATTTGAGACGTTCGAGCCTACTTCCAATGTCAAAGGCAAACGAAAATTAAACTCCAAATATAACTATAGCTTCTTCAACGGGATTTAAAACCTTTCACACTCGCGCGCTTTGATATCTGCTGGAGTTGGTTGAGGAATAAAATTCATCTTCATAAATATGCAGTAACAATAATTTACGTTTAAAAACTTGATATTCTTGTTTTAATGTTGTGCAATTCGGGGGTCTATCAATTTTTAACAATGATTAACATGGTACTGGTACTGATTGGTCTGACTTGAAGCTCTGTCTCTCTCTAAGATTGTTGAGCGATATGATGAGGGATTTGATATCTATTGATTTGTTTGATCGCACACTAACTACTAGCTTTTTCTATAATCAGCTCAGATGGTGGATTGTTTGAAGATAAATAGTTGGCAAATTCTGATTTTGGGAAGTTTAAAAGTTATCTACTTACTGTTTGCGTTGTTTTCTGTCTGTCTACGTGCGTCAAAATTGGATGAAATTTTGTGAAGATAAAGTTGAATGGCAAATATGATTCGATTGGAGAAAACGATGACAGTTCAGTTCACATTATTTACAAAATGTCATTCATATTGTATTTTGTTAAATTTTCTCTAATATTTGTACACCGCGTTTCTTTCTACTGACTTGATTACCATTCTTACTAAAGCGCCTACTTTGATTTGAAAAAGTGATGGTCTTTTAATACTGATATGCAAGAACGCTGTCATTCGATGTTATTCTCTCGTGATTCTACAGTAGAAAACAGTCAAAACTTTTCATACAAAAACGATTAAAATCAATTAGGAAAAAAAACCCTCACTCCAATAAACAATAAATCAGGTAGGGTACAGTCTTGGAAAACGGAACACCGGAAGGCTTTGCCTTCCGGAAGAAGGGAACTCATAAGCAATACCTGTTGTTTACAAATTTCACCTGACGTCCGTCAACATGGGTGAGTTTGTGTGTGTGTCAGTGATTGTTTGTGCATGATCGCTTAAGAAAAATCGGAAGATGAAAATTTATTCAAGAGCGAGAGAAAGTTCCGACTTCCTGCCGATTCACTTACGCTCCGAGCATCTTCTTGACGGAGTAACCCGGAATGGCGTAGAAAAACAGCAGCAGCAGGATGGCCAGCCCGAGGATGATCAGGCCCTTGATGATGCGCCACTTGTAATTGTGCCAGACGATGTACCGGATCGATTTGAGCGGATTCAGGAACCACATGAACGAAGCGTCCGGGCGGCTAGCGAGAGGTGAAAAGAAAAATGGTTGTGGTGAGTTTGGATATTAGTGGAGCTTTCACATCGGTGCAATAAACATTGAGGAAAGCTTTCAACCGCATCATCATGGCGACGACGCGAATGAGCAGATGCGATGGAAGCTTTCTATAATGGCTGTAAGGATATCAGGTTTATGCTATAATTTTAGATGTACACGCCAATTTGAAGCAACCATTGATGGGTAAAAATTACCCATTTTGAAGAAAAGTGTCTTAACTTATTAAAGGGTAATTCTTTTACCCATTACCCATGAGTATCTGTTTCCCATTAAGGTGAAAGTGACCTAGTGAGCATATGAAAATTTCAAAAATGGTAATCTCTGAGACACCAGCTTCCCCCCCCCCCCCGACAATACTCACTTCGGCTTCTCCAGCGGATCCGGCTCGTTCCTCCCGTACCCGGCGGGGTTCTTTTCCGCTTCGTCCTTCGTGAGCAGGTGAATCTCCGCCTCCACTTTGCCCGTCAGTTCCATCTCGTCGTTCTCCTTCTTGATGAAGAACGGCCACCAACCGCGCACCCGTTTCTGCTTGAAAATGTTCACCGTCGGCACGTTGTCCGTCTTGAGCATATCCAGGGTGCACAGTTTGGACGATTTGGCCCCCCTTGGGAACCGGTTCAGGTTCAGCGAGATCGCCCCAAGGAAGTCATCCGCCGAAAAATGATCCGCATCCCATACCTGCAGTTCCAATCGGGCCGGAATCTTCACCTCCGTCTCGTCCCAACTGAAGAGGGATTCCTTCCGGGAGAGAACGATCCGCTCTTCGGCAGCCAGATACTCAAACGGATAGATGAACCGCCAGTTGAAGTTTCCCTCACCGGTGAGCGATCGGTAGTGAATGTCCGTCGCTTGGATGTCCTGCGGGCCTTTGAGCCACCTAAAATCAAACCACGTTAAGACAGAACAGTTCCTGACTCCCTTACCGAACTTACCCCTTCACGTAGATGTCGGACATCTTCTCGCCGGTAAAGAACGCATCGTCTTCCAGCACTACGTCGTCCGTGTTCCAGATGACGACTCGCAGCTCGTAGGACCTTGGCTTGCGGGGCGATATATCGACGGGAGGTCCCGGCAGGGGCATGTCCATCGGAAACATGTCAACCCACATCTCCAGCTTGCCCTGTTCGATTCCTGGTTTATCGTAGCTGTACAGCGATCGAGACTCGATGTGCTCCGGAACGATCTACAACGAAACCATTACCCACTTACACCTACGATCATCAACAGAACTCCTTGATACAAACCTTGCAACCGACTCGGGGAACTTCCTCCCATCGGTGGATAACGGCCAGTGCCAGATGTTCATCCCGAAACTTGCAAGTTGTCGGTTGGTTCCACATCTGAATCTCCTCGGTGGTGAACGTAAAACAGTACCGACCGATCATGACTCGATCCTGCTGGTACTGCGGTGGTTCCAGCTTGTTCTCCTTGCACAGCTTGGTCAAGATCTGCGTCGGTTTCATGGGATCACGCCATTGGTTGTATCCATTGCTGTAATAAACGATCAAAGTTCATGAGAGATCCAACCTTCCTGGAGTTAACGAATACGTACTCTTCGTATCGCGCAGCGATACCGCACATCGCCCGGTGTTTAGTGTAGAATCGGTTCTCCAGGTCGATCTTGGTTTCCCCGATCAGGTCATCCGATCCCACCAGGTCCCAATCGTAGATCTGCACGGTTAGCATTGAGTCCTGCGGGAAGGTCGCCTCGATTTCGAAACACTTACCGAACACCGGGTTCAACTGCTTGCTGACGTAGTTCTCCTTGTCGGAGACCCGTTTGCCGCCGAGCTGGAGCACCACGTACGGATCGGCCTTGCCGTTCAGATCCATCGGATGCAGATCGGTAGCTTTGACGATGTAAACTCGCACCAGCACGTGGATGGGATCGTTTAGAGGAAGCGTTGGAGCGAATGCTAGTTCCATGCCCTTCTCGATCGGGAGCTTGTATACCTTGATCGCTCCCTTGAAGAAACCCACTATTCGATTTTCGTCCTCCGTACTGTCACCGGTTTTCTTGCCGCGGTACAGCGGGAACGATAGCAGCCATTCCTTGAAGTTGTTGTACTCTGGTAGAGATTCCAATTCGCCCGGATAGATGTGGCAGGTGGCAGTGTTCGGAGTGGCTATCTTTTTTGGAGTTGTCTTTGGACTGAGTTTGGACACCAGTTTTGAGGTCTTCACTCCAAGTTTCTTACCACCTTCGGTGGCCTGTACGTGATTTTCCAGTGCTCTAGATTGGGCTGAAGGCTTCGAGGCTTCGATCAGTCGTTCGTAGGATAGGAAGTACTTGGTCCACCAGTCTTTGCTTGATTCGTCATCGTCTTCCGCATCGAAGGTGTCTTCGTGTTCCAGCTTCCTCTTAGGTTTCTTGCCTTTGACGACCTTGCTTACACAAGCGGCACCGTATAGCGTGAGATTATCTCCGGATATCGACTTCATCATGGAGCTGTCATTGGGCATGGCCGTGTTGTTTCCCATTATGTCCATCTGTTTCGAGAGGACTATCTGACCGTTTTGGTTCACGCGCCTAGTGTCGTCCTTTGGAGGTGCCCTATGCATGTACTTGTGAATGGATGTAATTTGGTGGGTTCCTACAAGGGTGTACCTGCCAAAGGATCGACAATCTACGGCGCGAATGGTGATCGGTGGAGCATACCGTTCCTCCAGAGGAAGCTCCAAGTCGAAGAACTTGAGCATATTGGCAAAGTTTGGATTCTTCTTGGCGTTCTGGATGATGCTGGAATTGAGTATTTTTCCGGAACATTCGATGTCTATCCGTGGCTTGTCCACCGTCATGAAGTGCACTCGCTTCAGGTCCCGCAAGCCCCAAAACAGTACCTCGATACGGAACCGGGCGAGGTTCGGGCGAACCTCCCTCGGAACCGGTAGGATAGTCATCGTTGACGGGCCAGTTTTATCACCACGGAACTCCGTCGCGATATACTTCGGATCGGTTAGCCTCGGAATGTCGTCCGACCCCAACTCCAGCATTTCAAACGCAGCTAGCAACTCTCCGGCATTGTCCAGTCCTCGAGCTATCTCGAACCACTCTAGTACCGGGTTCGAGTAGTGATTATCTTTCAGCTTAATCCTCGGTTTTGCCAAGGCCCTTCCTATGAATTCAGACTTGCCGACCTTATCTTGGTCGTAGATATCTATCACAATCGTCGGTGGATCTTTCTTGATCTCCTCCTTCGCCCCGTAGATCACAATCTCGTCGAAAACCAACTGCTCATCCCACGTTGGACTCAGCGTTTCCTCGATCACCTGCGTAGTCCTCGAATACTCGGTAATGAACACCGTTGCGTATGGATCGCTCAACCCGGAAGCATCCGACCCAATCAACGATCTCGCCTGGTAGACGTGCGCTCGAAGCTGAAATACGTGTTTGTCCACGTATCGGATGTCAGTCGGAGCCTGCACATTTGGCTTATCCGCATGCTTCAACTCATTGGACATCTCGTACCCTCGGGGAAGTCCAGCGTAGAAGGACTTCTTGTGCTTCAACACTCCCAACCAGAGGTAGATGTGCAGCTTCGCTCTCACTTGCCATCCTGCTGGGCCCTCCGCTTGCTTGCCCGGTAACTTCAGGAAGATCGTCTGAACCTTCGAGCAGAAGATTCCCGTTTCCTCTTCCGTTGTAGAATAGATCAAGTCCCGTGCACTTAGCCTGTGGTACGCCACGCGTTTCCCATTCGCAACCATCCAGATGAACACATCCGGAAGTGAGTGCTGTGGATCATCGATAAGGAACTTCAGCTTACCCAAGTAGCTGTATGCCGTCTTGTACCGTTCCTTCATCGAGCTCTTCGTCACCAGCGCTCGCAAGTTTCGGGACATATTACCGATGGACTCGACTTCTCGTTGACACAGTTTCATCCGCTCTTTGTCCAGCTTGGTCTTACCTGTTCCCGGACCAACCAGTGCACCCTTCGTAATCTGCACGTACTTGTTGCAACTGGTTGCCACCTCCTCCAGCAATCCCCTCAATTTGACCTCCGCCGTCGGATCTTCATCCTCGATCAGCAGGTTCGCTTCCGCCAGTCCCAACTCCATGCGTTCGGTGATTTTCGCGATCATATTACTGTTGTACATCCGCCGGCGGAGGTCCGGAAATGAACACCGCACGTCCATACACGGTTTGTTGTCCCAGTACGGCAGGAAGAAATGGTTCTTGTCGTGCGTGATCGGTTTCGAGGCACTTGTAGTACTGCTGTACGAGGTCATATCCACCGATTCCAGCTCGTCGTCGTCGCTCATGTTCGTTGCGCTCTCGTTGTGGCCGTCCAGCGAGTTGCCGGCGTTGCCCATGCTCAGCTCGAAGAAGACCGGCCGATCGCAGACCTTCTTGTCGATCATGGACGCTTCCAGCACGGTGCCGAAGAGGAAGAAGTCATCGTTTTTGCAGTACGATGACTCGGAAATCGGAAGCGTAGACTCCAGGTCGACTGTGGGTGGAAGGAAGGTGAATTAGTGGAAGAGATTGTGGAGATTTTGAAATACCCACCATTTTTGTCCGTAAACAACTCCACGTTATCGGTGATCTCCGTCCTGATGGCAATCAGCAGCCTAGCACGGTAGCTCACTCCTTCGCCCAGTCCCGTGTTCAGATTCGAATGCTGATCCAACAGGTTGTAGTCCCTCGTTGAACCGTACAGGTGTACGAACGAAGGTCCGTACGTTGGCAGGAAGCCTTTCTCGCCATCATTGGAGATCTGCTTCAAATCGATGTAGTGCGTACCGATGATCGACGGCTTCATCGGGTCGGCATCCCTTAGTTGAACCTTTATCCGCTGGCACAATGGTGGAAACATCTCTGTGAACACCAGCTGCTCGTTCCACACCGGATTGTACGAGGCCTTCTTGACGGTGGATTTCCCCTGGTGGCAAAGAGCTCAATCAGTGCTGTTCGGTTGTTTTTTTCCCTAGAGATTCTAGGGCGGAACTTACGGTTAATCCAGCGAAGGAGACCTGCACGTACGGGTTGACCAGATCCTTGGCTTCCCCTGTGAAGGCCCGTTTGACGTTTGCCATGATGGAAGAATTCATCCGCGGAAGGCCGTCGGCTCGGTAGATCTTCACGATGAACTTGGCCCGTTGCCGCTCGATGGGAACTCCGTCCGGAAGGAGCAGGTTACTACGATTAGGGAAAAGGTCATTAAACTGAAATGCACTTACGGCGGTTTTGACCAACTTACGCCTCAATGTCATCCGGATCTTTTTCGGACTTGGGAGGAACTTTCACCGTATCGCCTTTGCCGATGATGCCGACGTCGCACTTCAGGTATCCCTTGGGTCCGGAAATGAAGTCTTCCGGATCGGTTAGCAGCGCCCACTTGTGATAGAACTGGTGGTCTGGGTGTGTGCATGAAGGGGTGGGAAAAGATTAAGTCGTTAGGAATCAAAGGGGCCAATGTGGGGCGTCAAGCGGCAGTCGTAAAATTAAGGATGCAGATAAACAAGAAGCAGAACAACACAATACCGAACACCAACCGAGGATAAAAGTGCTAATGAGGGTAATTACAGTTTAAACTACTTCCGGCTACCGTGGGCTAAACTACATTATCAAAGAGTGCCATGTGCCATGCAAGGGGTGTATAAATATTAGTAGGCGGTGGTTGGTAGCCGGTAGCAACGAACAGCAAGCAGCTGTGCGAATGACATCAGAGTTGGAATGACGGACGGATAGATAAATGAATGTCGTTAGTTTTATCATCTTCCCTCGTCTGGTCCACGCAGCGTGTTCGTACTCCTACTTGTTGTGTATTCAGTGTCAAGTTGATTGCGAAACTACCGACTTGGGACTGCTACGACCAGGGCGGAAGGAAGCAATAAAAAGCTATACGCCCGTTTGCCCTCCTTCTCCGTGCGATATTCCACTCCGTGCGATGTAGTTCCTCTGCAGACAAAACAATTATTGTTGTTCTCCCCGCATGGCACGCTGCGATGGTCAGCCGGCACTGAAGAGTCGGAAGCTGTCAACTTAGAAAGCGAGCAGCCAGCGGTGGAAAACTACTGGTTGCTTAATCACAGACAAAAAGACGTAGGTTTTTAAACAAATTTTCCTCTAACGACATCTCGCGAGCTATTTGCGGAAGGAAAGCATGCTTGCCAATTCGGTCAAAGTGATCCGACAGCAGCGCTGTGGTGGGGGATTTGTGAAACTAAAAATATATTAATTTGAACATTAAATGCGTGTACAACGCTTGAGGAGAAAGAGTTACTTCTGTTTGTCTGTGGCTTAACGCAACAAGTGTAATAGGTACCTAGTAGGCTAGGTTGAATAGTTCGCTAAGGCTGTCAACAGGAGGAACATTTATAGAAAATAGTTGTTCTCCCGTCAGTAGACGAGCGAATAAAGTTGAAAACACGCACGAGTGCCACCATATGCTGGCACAATAGGTTAATGCCGTTGACAGCTTTGGCATGTTTATTTGCCTGTTTTGATGGTTTCACAATATACAGATGCAGCTCTTCTATTAAAGATGTCCCAATAGCAGAAGCAAATTAATTACGTTCTGAGATTGCATCAAATTGAGTTGACGTCTTGGACACATTTTTTTTGGCTTAGTTAGGACTATATTTTGGTGGATAAAAATAGTTCAAGGCAAAGTTGTAGAACGTAAAATTTTATGAAAATTTCCCAAGACATGTACCGTGGACCCCCGTTAATCTGAATGTCACTCCGTGCAAATCAACGGGGTTCAAATTTAATTTGAACTTCTAGTTACCCTATAACCAGCAGAAAGACGAGAATCTGGTAGCCTTATTTGCTGTTTTGTATTGATTCTGCATTCCGTTTGGGATCGTTCCATTTCACTTTACTCCATTCCTTGTGCTAAATGACGTTTGAGCGGCGTGCAGATTAGCGGGGCTCAAACTAAAAAGCGTTTAAATCAAAAATGGTTAGTCTCAGAGGTATATTGAGCTATGTTTGAGATATTTGAATATGAATCAAATGTTGTATTTTACTTAAGCAATAATAATAATTATATTATGTACATTAGGGTGGCTCAAGTTTAAATTTTAAAGTACTCCAGCAGTTCCAAATCGTAACAGAATTCTTTCAAACTTTGCACAGTTGTTTGCAACCTCAATACACATCGAAAGAACAGTGAGGATCATAGGTTTGTGACTCGTCGTATAAACTTGAGTCACTCTAGTGTACATAATAGGATTATTTGTTTTGAGTAAAATATATTATTTGATTCAAGGTGTTTAAGAACGAGCTGGAGTTGAAGAAAGAATGGATGAAAGTGACCAAAAAGGTCAGCTCCACCATTGCACAAAATTTAATGGGGGGTCTTAAGGGAAAGGTGCGGGCTTTCAGCGATGGAAAGGAAATTGAATAAAGTATTAGTTCATTCCCTGAAAGTTTCAAGAAAATCCGACTTAAAATAAATTTTTGGCAAACACTTTTGCCTGGTGCATTTTTTTTCGAGTACAGTCCTTAATGTACGATAGCAATGGACATTTGCCATAATTCTTATAATAAAATTAACTAAAAAAATTCAAACACACGTTTGCTGTTGGACAGGCTTGCTTCCACTCACTTGCCATAAAAATGATTTTCTGAATTTTGATCAGCGATTTTACGACTCGCGAGTGCTCTTTCTGAGTGAACGCTCACGAATCATAAAATCGTTGATTGTAACACTCTGGAAGCGAAATGGTTTTATGTATCAGATACTTGCCTTTCAACATCTTCTTGTATCTAACAAGTTCAAAATATCATTATAACATCTAATGATTTCAAAATTCAGAAAATCAAAGAGCCTTCAAAATTGGAGTTTTCAAACTATTTTATAAGTCAAAGAACAGCTCATGATGCAAAGTAGGACTCATCTCCAAAAGAAAAATGGTTTGTAATTATTTTAATTGAATTTTCAAAACTATTTTATTTTTCAAAGAACTGCTGGTCATGTAAAGAAGGAGTCAACTGAATGAGGAAATTAATTTTTGAATATTTCAATTGAATTTTTTTATTAATAAAAAATGTTAAAAACAGCTCAGGCTGTTGAGAAGGTTTCAAATCCAACAAAAAATGTTACTTTTGAGAATTTTGAGATAGGATTTTTAAAAGCTTTTATCTGTCGAATAACAACTCAAAATACAAAGAGGAAGTCAACTCCTAGAGCAACATTATTTATGAGTATTTTTTGATAGAATTTTTAAAAGTGTTTATTCGTTGAAGAATAACGTATAGTCAAGTCAAAGTAAGAAATGATTTGTGCATTTCCATTGTATTTTTCTAAAGAGAAAAGTATTTGTGAGTACAGTACCCCTTTGACTTTGGCATGGTTTGGATTTGGCAACAAAACCACAAAGCCGTTGGATTTTGTGACAGGAAAGCCGACATCTTGGATTTAAAAATGGCGTCAGACATTACCCAAGTAACATTTTAAGTTTTACGAAATACTACAAAGCAACTAACCAATATTCATAAAACCCTGGTCTAGGCTATTTTGTCATTAATGCATCTACCAAAACCTCATTAAGACTAGAATATGTCTAGTTGGCCCACCCTGGAGAAGGTTCTGAGGGTGTATTCTCGAAGCTTTTCAAGATTGATTCACTGCAAAAGGTTGTATGATGAACGCATTGAGAACCATTGGAAAGCTACAATAAAAGCTATTTAGCAACTATAAAAACCCTTTCAAAGCCATTTCCCCTAGCCGCTTGCTAAATCCACTAGGAAAGCATTAATCTAGATATAAAAGGATTTATGAATCCGATCTTAGCAAAATAATTAAAATAGAAACTGATGGCACAAAAATCTTGTGGAATATCCAAATTTATTACAATAGTTCTCATTAAGTGGCCTCGTTCTAAGTGCCATATAAAATTCAGTCCACCCTCGCAAAACGTCGATTTGACTAATTATTTAACATTGAAAAATAAAATATATTCTTCAGATCGAGCTTGTCCGAGATTTTTTTTTATTATTTTCGCATTTAAATGTTTGCTCATTGCTAAATTTACCAAAATATAGCTATATCTAAGGAAATATAGATTGAAAATCAAAGCTTGTAAAAAACAAGCAAACTAATTATAACATGGCGGTGGCATAAAAGTTGATTTTCATGGGTTATTTGTGAAAAAGTTGCTTTGCTTTCAAGAATTCCTTAACAAATTAATAAGGTTTTAAAATGACTTTTATGAAGAAAACTTGCAGGCTTAATTGTATTTATCTAATTCTAACCTGTTCAGATTTATGGCAGCATTTATGGAGGCAAAGTTGCCTGCAAAACGTTAAACGTCAAAGTTTGTTTATCTTTCGATAGTTGCGCTGTGAGATCCAGGATTCCTCCAGGCGGTTTTCTCCTGATGGATTGAGAGCAGTTACTCAGACAGTTTGCGATACTGTTTTACAACATTTCGCATTTCGAACAGCTGAAAGCGCAATCGTTCCCGAAAGAGATCCCCTTCTTCCGGATGGTTACAGAAGTGCACCATCCAACGATGCAGGGATGTACGCTTGAATAAAATTTTCGAAGAGTTGATTCTTTCGCCGAATAAAATCGCTGCTATGGATCGGAAACCAGCTAATTTCCGCTAACTAACAGTTTCAGTGGTTTGCTGTCGGTTGTTATCTTTTTGCAAGATCTGGAGAAGGCTGTATGTTTTTTAAACTTTTGACAATGTTTTATGAATTCGAGGGCCCCACTCAGTTTGCTCTTCTCCGCCAGATGGTCAGTCGTTGATGGTGTGCTAGTTCTTCTAGAGAAGTAAATTTTGCTGAAATCGACTTGAATTTCTTCTATCTTCGAACTTCGTCTATCCTTCGAGATTTCCTTGTCATAAATTTGGCATTTATTAACTATGAGGAACCATCTTTTAAGCTCAATTTGTAAACAGAGTGATTGGGAAGGTAATGATGCTCTTTAAAAAGCCTAAAAAGCAACAATAAATGCTTTTTGCTCTAATGCAAAACCTAATGGTTTTATGGTTGCTTTTATAACGATATAACACGTTTATAAAGTATTTTATCAAGACATTAATAAACAATTGCTAATGACGTTTGTGCTTGAATTTCAGAACAGTTTTAAGGAGGGATTGATAACTGTTTTAAATTTATTTTTAAAACAAGACAGTTTTTTACTTTCTTGCCAGACTATAAAAGGTTTTTAAAACAGCAAAAAGCTGAATTACTAAGCAGGAATGTATTACACTTTGAAATGCTATATTTAAACTAAATGAATTGTTCATTTCCGTTATAAAACCATCATTAATCAGAGGGGATGCTAAATGGTTACTGAATTGTTACTTGGGTAATTTCTGGTCCCTAAACGTCACCCGATTACAAAAGTACCCTACACTACATCGCGAATGAAATTCCCAGAATTTCTATGAAA